GAGTTGATACTGGGTCGAACCGAGTCCCTTGGTCTTGCCTCTCCCATCTGCAAATGCCACAAGTGATTAAATCATACTAAGGGACTCCAAGAATAAAGATTAATTGTGACCTGATAGTTTGATCTATAATTTATGAAACCTAAAGAAAGTAATCATTGGTTTTCGTTTTGTACACCTACAGAATTTCAATCCACAAGGGAAGTGCCCACAGAAAGAGAAATTTTCTATGAATGGCCACACACAGAAGTGAGTGTACCACCAGTTGACTTCTCTTTTCCTAATGAGAGCACCAACACAAGTTTCCTTTGCATATACTTAGAAGAAATCCAAACTGACTGTAAATCTTTTCTTTGTCTTTCAGACTCATCTGCCCACTTTGTGGTCACATCCTACATGTAGGCCAGACTCCTGAACTGTAACATCCTAGCAGCGGGAGGTTTCACAGTTTCCGTGAGACCATGACATAAAATTTGTAGTGTACATTTTACCATTGTTGTAGCCGGGTTTAGTACCAACCCCATATACAGTAGTTGGGCTCTAATAATGTAATATGAACCCTAATTAGTGAGACCCAATTTAGATTTAGTGGGAGAAACGATTAGAAATACAGCACTGTGGATTGAGCTGATTCATGAAGCATTAATTGAATAAAAATATTTAATCCAGAATTAAAAACAGTGCAAATGAATATTACAGTAAACATTTTTACACTTCAAAGTATTGCCTTTGGCAAATAAATTTGAGGTTCCTCGTTTGAGACAAATCCATCTCTGGTCAACTCATGGGTCCACAAATTATCTCTGTGACAGAATTTTTTTCCTCAAACTTATTATGAGTTCGACTAGAGCCAGCTGTAGAGCCGCTGCATGTTATTCCATCTCTTTTCACTGTTGTATCCACATTATTGGGAAGATCCTTTGCATTCCTTGATTCATACTGAGTAGAGATTTTATCAGAGTCAAGGCGTCCCTCTGGTGAAAATGTTTCTATTTTTTGCCATCTCCTCGGTGGCCATACAATGTGAGTAGCTTTTCCCTGAACAAGACCCAGTGACACCTACAGAAATAAAATGAAATGGAATACATGTAAAACAAATAGATCAATTTATAGGATAGACAAATTTAGATCAGCTTCCCAGAAAATTGTGGAATTCAAGGACACAACTCCAACTTTTCAAGAACCTGTACACCATTTTCAAATAAAGAGCTTACTTTCACACTAAGTGGACCACTGCCATTTGACATTAGGACAGAATTCAGTTTATAACTCACCGGGCCAAAGGAGTTGCTGTCATGACTGTGTGAATGATTATCTCCTTCAACCCAGCAATGACCTGCTGGAATATGTACAATCTTCTTCTTGTAGCTTATAGTTCTGTAAAATGTGAAAAAAGTAAGCAAACAAATAAATAAATGAAGTTTTATTTTTTAATCTAGAGCTTTGAAAAGGCAATACTTGACTGTTTTATTGTACAGATTCTAGTTTACAGCCAATCCAGTGACAGTTTTTAAAAATCACAAAAAAATAATCAACATAACCTTTAATCAAAGTCAAACATTCATGCAACATGATAACAAAACAAGCTGGCTACTGGGTATTTGTTAGTCCATATAGTGTGATATACGAATTTAACTTTCCCAGGTGAACTTTGGGACTATCTGAGAAACAAATTAAGCTAGTGGTCAGGGCAAGAATTGTGCCTGTGGACCTTCTTATTGTGAGTAGGAAAAACTGACCACTCAACACTCCCTCCTTAGAAAAAGAGAAGAGGGTAGCATAAGACAAAGATATAAAGGCAAGAGACTCTAATTAACTTTAAAGAAAGTGACTCGACTACACACCTTATATACTGTAGGAGACTGACTTTGTCTACTTAGATGAGAGTCAAAGTAGACACCGTGAGTTGCAGACTACAAGTGAATGAATGTAGTTTGATCATAAAAAAGAGTGTTTTTGAATGCTGTTACTGAAAGTTTGCTGCTGCTCCAAGACACAACTTGGGTCGTCTCTTTGTTTTATTCTAGTGCCAGATTGGCATAGCCTTCTAAAGACAAGATATTTATTTATGTACTATTTATTTGTAAAAAATTCATTTGTTTTTCTAGCTTTGCCTAACTAGAAAAAAAAAATGCTTATAGACATAAAATGATTACGCAGGGAGACCATTACAACTTAGCCAAATTACAGTAGATCCCACGATACGCCCTAAGCTGGTTTTGTAGCAATAGACTATTTTGACCTAAAGGCATAGGCATATTTTTTTGGTAGATTACAAGGCTTCATGCCTCCACTGTTTAATAATACATCTAAGTGGTTAAAGGCTACTGGACTGTTTGATTTACTTACTTCACATGATCTCCTTCCACACCTATCACTCTCTTTATAAGAACAGCATCCGGGTCTGAAGGATCACTTTTAAAGGAGTCAAAAAGGAGATAGTTTTTTTGTGAAATGGTATTCAACACTCAACCTGGGCTGGCATTAAGGGGCGGGGGCCAGGGATTTTCCCCAGCTACAATGAATGTGGCCTGCACCTACTTTCAAAGGAAAATTTAAGAAAAGTAGAATCAAAAGATACTTCTAGCTGTTTGATTTCACGCCTTCTTTTTGTATTTACCCAGGCAACTTGAAATCTTAGTGACAACCCTGCTCAACAATGTTAGTGTCTTACAGTCTTTAAACTGTTCACACGTATCGCACATTATCCAGTACTAATAAAAAAAATAGCAGCTGAAAGTTCCTCTATGGAAATCACCATTTCTTTCATACAACTGTACATGTATGTATGATTTCCAACCTTTTGTTTATCAAGATGACCAGAACAGCATGTATCATTTTTTTCTGTTATCATACATGTATACATAAGACCCTTTTCACCAGTATTACCACTGTTTTATTACTGGTAGTTCTTGGGAATACTATGAAAGTCAAATTGTACATATATTAGAGTACAACAAATCCAAATTTTGTCAATTTTGACTAATTGTTTGCTCTTAGGAGTGAAAAGGCACCCAACTGTAAAACAAGGTCAAGGTTTTTTGAAGTTAGGCCCTGATTTGCTATGCTCAAACAAAATACTGCAAATAGAGGAATGGGGAAATGCCTTATTGTCTCAAACTGACACCTTAATGTACCTCTGTAGCTCTCACAGCTTTTTCAAAAGTTATAAGAAACCTCCAAAAGGTAGGGAAAGATCAAGTAACCTCTAACAGTACTCAGAATTCACTCACATGAGGGTTACAATATCTCCTCTGCTGATTCCTTCAAATCGTCTCACAGCCCAGCTGTTCACAAGCACTACATCACCTTTAAAGTGAGGTTTTGGATTTAGTGTTGGCTGTAGATAAAAGTAAGAGAAAATTAACTTTTATGGTTACATTGCCATGTTATGTGGCAGGTGTTATCCCTCTGATGAGAGATGTCCATGAAACTATACACTGTGTGGAGAAACAGTGACTGCATAGGTCTTCCAGGTGACCAAGCCGCCAAATCCACCAATCAGTGTATTGCGACTATTGTCAGTTCAAAACCCAAAACTGCCCTGCAGATTGGTGGATTTGGATTGACGCACACACCTCAAATGCCTTTGATTGGGAATTTTGCACTGATCATGTTGAGAAAGCTGGTCTTGCAACTTCAAGATCGCTTTTGTTGAGAAATTTTGGAGGGATTGAGCTCTCACTTGGGGCATGGAGACATATCTAGTGGATCAGAAGCCAGCATTTTCGAACTAAGAAATTTAACAGTTTGGTGTCAGTTCCAGCTTAGAGTGGACCAGGTCATGTGTCCAGCAGCTGATTGCTGCATGCCTTTAATAGTCTCCTTCTTTATGACACACGGCACATTTTCTTCAAGCTTTTATTGAAACATTTGCATTAAAATCTGCACTTTGGAGCAAATTATAACCACCCTATTGTTCATCTGTTTTTCTTCTATAAATAACAAGAGATTGATGCTCAGATTTCAATCAACAGTGGCCCCACTAACAGAGGGTAGTCAGCCTGTGATTTTAGACTAAAAAAGAGTGAACGATTTGTGACGCTTGACTCTCGCCAAATCTTTAGCTATCGTTGATCGAAAAATAAAAGAATGTAAGCTTGGGGCTAATGGGACGATCATTTGACTTTTGAGGGGAGGGGGGGGGGGTATCGGTGATTTGAGAAAAAAAAATCCTGCATACTGATTTCGAGGGAAAAGATTCTTGCAAGGAAATACCTGGCGAAAAAAAACATCTTTCATGTCGTATGCTGGAAAAAAAAAATTCTTACACCGTTGTATGTCACCAGGGGTTTGGGAAAAATGAAATTATTACCCAAACCAAATCACCCATAAAAAAAGTCAAATGGTCAGCCCCTAAGCTAAATCAAAAAAGCTTAAGCTTGATATATATACCCACTTACTTGCATTGAGATACCATGGACTCCCTTTAAACTCCCAACGTTCTCTACAAATGTTACAGCTACTGGAAGTCCTAAAGCAAACCCTAAGGCAAAACGACTGAGATACGGACGGACTGTTTGAAAACCCATATCACCGCAATCAAAGGCTGCAGTTTTAACTCATCTGCACTGTACTGCACCCAGGCCAGATCCGTCCGCCATGTTGAATACAAGTGAGTAAGTCCCAGTCCTCACCGTGAAACAAAATTGCCTTGTACGCTCGCAATGCGTGCAAGGGTTGCCGAAATCGTTAATCGTCAAACGTTTTGATATGCGTATTTCAAACCTCTCTATTTTAGCTGATCTTCACTGACTTTTAGTGACTCCTTAATAATCTCTCAACTGGAAAAAACAGTTCGTAAGTTAACAAAACCATTCTCTCTGAAGATTATAAAACGTTAGAATTTGCTTCAGTATCTGACAAAAAAAATCGAAATTCTATAAGCGTAAGGCCGAGACAACCTCAAAAACACAACATTTAGGGTCTAGCACTTAAATTTGGGACCTTTAATTCGTAGCTGGTATTTGATCTTAAATTGTAGGAACTACTCTCCTTGAAACTTAGAGGCTTCTTCAGGCAGACAGGGCTCAGAATCGGTGGACGAGTAGCAATTGACAAGAGCGGAACCTCTTCTTTGGGACACCTCTAGTCAAAGGACACCTCCTTTCAGGGGCCACAAAATTTGATCCCAGAAAAAAAATTTTACATATAAATCTTTGTATCTGTTACCTCTATCCAAGGGACACCTCTGTTAGTGAGAAAGGGGCACTCTTTTAGGTTCCCGTATCCGTGGTTTAACCTCAGTCTTCAGGAGACACCTTAGCACTCAAAAAGGTGACTAACCCAAAAAAAAGATTGATACGTTTATGTGTACACTAGTCAAAATGACGACAACTTTCAAAACATTAACTATCTGATTTAAATCGGTGTACTGCACTTGTGGTATTTCAAAGCAGAATTTTACAGAGATTAGTTAATCATGATCTTTTATGCATTATATAGCTGCTTGAAATGATGATTGTAGCAGTTTCCGAGGCAGAATAAAAGAAAAATATTTTATTTATATGTTAATTATCACAGGTAAGAAATCCCAGCTCATCCTCATCCAGGGGACATCTCTTTTCAGGGTATACTTGCCTTGGTCCGGAGGGTGTCCCCTAAATAGAAATTCCACCGTTATGCTGAATCAATCATCGCTACAGTCTCTGTAAGGGTCGGTTTCCACTGTATCGTATTTTTTCCGTGCGAACGCACGTAAAATTAATTCTATTAGAAAAAAATAGTTTGTCAGGTTCATTGCAAAATTCCATTTAAATAATTTTGAAGGACGTATGCTGTGGTTAACTTGGCGACCAGTTTGCCCTCCAAGTTTCCATCCATTTGATAAACTCTTTCTTTGCTAGTCATGTGACTGACATTCGCCTTAAAACGGTCAAAATATTTCATCTATGAGGAGTACTTAGTCAAACCTCAACTTTTCTTACTATATCATTTTTCCTGGCTACTACGAACGACTCGTTAAGACTGTTGCCGCCTTGCAACCGTGTCTCAGGTGTGTTTACGGAACCGTCAATTGAGCCAAAGAGGTCACGTGACATAACAAATATGCTAATTAGATACACAAAATGATGTTTAAGGTGGCTCGATACAATAATTCTTTAGCGAAACCTTCCATTTTTTAATCTCTTATTATTTAAACAAATTGATCTTTATGATGAAACCATTATAACACATGTATTACACATAGACTAAACTTTATTATGATATTATTATTTTTTGGGCAATCGGAATAAATATCACACGGCAATGACGTCACAATAGTTTTAGCTTTAAATCGAATTTCAGTCCTTATCGATCTGAACTTTGGAAATGCTTTACGTTGCGCATGCTTTGGTGTTTGCCTTCCGTTACGCAAAGTTTCACAGAAATCTATGAGAGGAATTTCGAAATATCTTGGAATTTCTATAAAAAGGGTATAACTTAAACATGAACTGAAGACTGGACTTTATGCAGACGAATTTGCTACTTTTTGGCTGTTTCCGGAATGGTATTATCATTCATTCGCTTTGCAAAGAAATGTCCTTTTAAAGGCTTTATCGTCGAAATGTTCGAACTTTTTGTTTGCATAAGTAGCTCGCCTTAAGAATACATTTTGTGATGTTATCAGGAAAAGAAATAACGTAACAGTATATAATTATAATAATCACAAAAAATGTTTCAAATATCTATAAAGTTTCGTAATAGTAAATAGTATAATATTGAGAATATTGGTAGAAATCAAATCCCTAATATAATTAAAGTCTTAACAAAATACATATACTATTATTTAAACCTCATAAGAAAATATTACAAAATTAAAAAGCTATATAAAATTCACTGCTCAAAAAAATTGCCAAAAAAGGAATGTCTTAATTGAATTCTTAGAAGTTTCTAGCCGAGAGATTCTATATTGCGTGTCTGTAAAGGCAGCTCGTTCCACAAATGCGA